GTATGTATGTGTCTAAGTGTGTGTGTATGAATACGTGTATAGGTTCTGTATATGTGTTTATATTTAATTTTGTTTTAAAATTGAGTGATTTGTTTAGTTGATTTATTTGTCTCTTAAGAGGTGAGGTCCCTTGTAGAAGCCTGTTGGCTTCTTGACCTCTCCTGACACACCTTTTATGTCTTTGATAATCCTATTTTGATGTATTCTTATATGTGTGCTAATAAATAAATAAAAGGTAAAAAGACAGGCTACATTATTGAGGATTTTGTTTTTAAATTCTTCTAGAAGTATAAATATCTCACCTTCTTGGTCTCCTTCTTGCTTGGTCAGTAACCTCCTCATGCAGGCCAGATGTCCACATGACAGGAGTTGGAGGATTATGAGCAGATGAAAAAACATGGTCATATGTGCGCCTGAGCGAGGACAATCGGGCGGGGCATTAATTGGTAGTCCAGAGGGCAGAGTACTGTCAAAACACACCCCTCTTTTTTTCAAAGAACTATACACTTCAATCTAAACAACCGGCATCGGATAGGCCTACCTATATTCTACATTTACCTATTACAAAGGGTGGCACATAATGCTGGATAAAAAAAGTGAACAAGTGAAGAAAAGGTGAAGGAGCGGCGGAGACGTGTCGGAGCCTCGACGCTGATAAGATGAGTCAGGAAACTGTTGACTGACAGTCACAAACAACAGCAGTGTTCAGCAGCTTCCTCTGACAAAGTCTACCACAGCTCACTGTCCACCGGCAAAATACAGTTAAATAAAGTTTATCTAGTCGGTGACGAGTCCAAAAGAGTTCCGGAAAGTCTTAAAAAAAGAAGCTATTTGTTGACTCCCAACAGATGTGGCCTCAGCTCTTACCGAATCACCTGCACAGACTCGACCAATCGATACTGTTACCTGGATAATACGCTAAGTTTTGAAAACTGCAAGTGGACGCTAGATGGCAGCTGAAACCGCGAAAGTGAAACTACTTTTTCGGCCAAACTTTTCACATGCAAGTGTTACATAGAGTTGCACATACATCATTTGACTTTTGAGTCAGATAGCACAACTCCTCCCAAGGCCAAGTCATTTACTGACAGACATTTAGTCATATTTGCTCTGCAGTTATTGACTGGCTGTTTGTGTACATTTTGTGTCTAATTTAAATTGCAAACGCTCTGAATAACAGCAGCAATTAAACAGGCTATTTACTTTTGAGAATAAAAAAGAAATACAAGCCTGTAGATGACAAAACACATAGGCTACAACCCTTCAAACACGTCTTGAATACAAAATCCTACTAAAGGCTTTTAAGCATTCCTCAAAACACAAAATACAACAGTGTCCATGGTACTTAGGGGCCGCCTTACTCTAATCCTATGCAGTGTAGGTGAAACATTTTTCCATTTTAGACACTTAGCTTTACTGGGACTCAAAGGGTCATCTTACTTAAATGACCCCTTAAAAGTGTCAAGTGCCATAATTTTTGCCGCAACATCTGATCCACTTCTTACGGGTGGGCACAAATTACAATTGTAACACAATGCTGTATATCCTCTGGGATGTTTGACTCTTTTACAAGCACTAAACCTCCTCTCTCAGTAGCTTGGAAGCTGGTGACTATACACCATCATGCACAGGCCTTGTATGGGAAAGGGTAAAGATATGGGCTGAGGAGTCATTTAGAACGAGAAAAGGCCAGACTAAGTGATCCAGTTCACTTAGCATTGCTTCTTGATCCACAAAGACTGGTGACTCCAGCACATTTAGAGACACCACATACAGCAAAACATGCAGCAATGCAGTGATAATAAAATCTCCCATTCTGTCTGTCTGGCAAACAGGCTTTCACAGAAGTGTTTATGTTTCAGTCCGTCCATACACATATCTGTCTCTGAGCCTCTGGGCCTCTTGGCCAGTGTTTATGTAAAGGAGAGATAGGATGCAATTGAACATTATCATTACTGACTACTGGATGGTGCTAATTGAAACACAGTGAGTGACTGTCTCTTGTATGTGACTCTGGATACTGTCAGAGCCTTAGATTCACCCAGAAGAATGTTGATACAAAGAAAAGGGGCGAGGAAAAGTAGAAATAGACTCTGGATGACATTGCCACCTCACACAGCATACTGCCATTTGACTGTAAGAATGTTTAAAAGTGTCTCACTCCAAACGTGCAAAATTAATTTTGACCTGAATCAACTCACACAGTGGTGTTGTGCTTATTTAAGTTGATCCCAGACCAGTGGTGGGAGAAGTATTCAGGTCCATAACTAAAGTCAAAGTATCTGCACCATTTTTTAATGGCTCTGTTACATCTTGGATTGAAGCTTTACTAAAGTAAAATCAGGGGCGTGTCCACACATTTTTGACTGGGGTGGCCAAACTGGGGCATGACTTATCCAGGGTGGCTCATGATGGATAGGCCGGGTCTTTGTAATATAGCAATAAGTAAGGTCTTTTACCTGCTCTTTTGTAATGTTAACAGACAAAGAGGAAGGTCTTTTACCTGCTTTTTGTAAAGTGTCTCGAGATAACACTTGTTGAGTTGATGCTATACAAATAAAAATTGATTGATTGATGAAGCGTGACGTGAACACAAACACACAGATAAATATCAATTATCTACCCCTTCATACTTCAACAATCATTATCTACTTTATAACACAATATGATGGCAACATTAGCTTAAAATGATAATGAAACAATATGATTTATATTAAACTCAAAATGTAAAGTACTTAAAAATGTGCATGCAAACTCCTGCACACAATCTACCTTTCAAAAATACATTAAATGGCAATGTTTTGGTTCCTTAACATCGCCAATTAGTTCATTTTAAAAGGAATATATTTAAAGAAAAATACTGGCAGCCTTTCAAAAGAAAACCAAAAACCTAAAACCTAAAAGTTGGTTTTAACACAAGTCCCGCTTCTGACAGGACAAATAGCCAATCACAGTTTATTTTTGGGGTGGCACCTGGGGTGTCCAATCCAATTTCTAGGAGCCCCATGCCACCCCTGGCCACACCCCTGAGTAAAAGTAGAAAAGTTTGAGCATCAAAATCCACTAAAACATAGAAAGTGATAGCAGTTGCAGAAAAAAATACTTTTTTTTTTTAAATTGCAACTGTTAATTCTGTCTATTGAACAGATTTTCAACGTAACAGTGAAATGTAGAGGATGTCTTTGGTTAAACTCAAAAACATCAAACTATAATAACTCAACCTAACTGCCCTGCTTTCATAAAAAGTCACTAGGTTTTGAATAATTGCAGGGACACGTTCCACGAGCTTGTAATGTGTTTTCAATGTTGAATCTTAACGGAAAACTATTATCTGTACAACACAGAAACAGTGAAATACTTTTCACTGAAACTCTGTGCAGAACAGAACTATAAAGTAACAGAAAATGGAAATAAGTCAAATATATGCAAATGAAATGTTTAATACTGGAGTTCGCTTCTGCAGCGTCTGATAACCTGAGCTGCGTATGCAAAAGCGAGCTGTTAGGCAGATAGAGCTCCCAACTGGAATATCAACTCATTTGCTTTTCCTCACTGAACAATTCAGAACCTCCTCTATCTGTCTGTGATAAGACGAGGTCATGACATTTGCTGCAGATAAACCAACGGCAGCATGCAGTATTTACATGTGTCTCACATCATGGGCCCGTCCACACAACAGTTTCTGTAAGCCAGTGAGACAAATTGGAGACGAGAGGGAGAGACTTCTGCACAGAATGAGAAAAAGAAGCTGGAGAGCCTCTGTCCACAGACAAAAAGGATGCATTTGATGAGAGATGGAAACCAAGACGTTATAGGCTTTGCAAACATTTTGTTTAGGTTCGATCACATTAGCTTCTATCTTCTGTATGCTCCACCTTGCAGGGTGGCTGTGATGAGGTTATGCTCCTGAGAATGTGTTTAGTGATTTACACTGGCTGATAAGAGTCGGAGATGCTGCTCCCCGCGGACAACCGGACAGAAGTGAGCGGTGAGGCTCAGCAGACCTCTGCTACGATAGGAAAAAGAACACACTGCAGCAATAAATGTATACCTCTAATGCCCATTTAATCTAAGAGAGAATATTTTAGTGGCAGGGCCTGGAGTGATCAGATTACTTGATACACTTAAAACAGTAACCAGGATGAGCTCTGGCTTTATTAGACATATAAAAAAGCAGCACGTATTTGGGGTGGGGGTGGGGATTCATTGTCAGTAGTCTGCTCTTCGTCAGTTTGTGCTGATTTCATCACAGCCCCAGAGGGAGAGAACTCTAACAGACCCCTTTTACACCTAATGCCTCGGCCATATATCATTAGAGTTCACAATCTAGCGTTGGACCAGTGCCTGAGAACAGATTTCTCTGGGGTATAAATAGCACTTTAGTTTACATCATGAGCGAGGGCAAGGTGAACTATTAAGTGGATGTTAGAAGTCTTGTTTTCCTACGTTTTTAGGCACATAAAGAGACCGTGAGTCATGCCGACTACAGCTGAACTGTATCTATTAACCAAGAGGACAGTTTCAAATTTGCAGTGGCAGTGACTCAGCCCACACCACGAGCTCAAAGTGTTGATGCCACAGCTCTGACCTCAGCAGACAGGGTCATTTGAAGTTCACTTTCCTATTGTCACCTCTCATGTGCGCCCAGACAAGTGACCCTCTCACTACAGGCCATTTCTCAGCCAGAGTCACAGCTCATCTAATACTGACATGTTGTCCTTTAACCGAAACCAGATGTTGAGGGCTGCTGGAGGACGAGCCCCCATTAAAGTCAATGTATGGCTTTGTGAAAAGATAAGGCAACTGGTGGGGTACTTGTCTGAAAGACTGATTACACTGTACATCCGTTGTCAGCTAATAGCATGGTAAAACTTCTCACTTTTCCACATGATTTGAAATTGCTCACTAAAGTTTATTTTCTTGTTTTGATGGCATTATTTGACTTTGAAAACCTCTAGAAACAGTCATATTATTCAACAAAAAAAAGGAGCAATCACAGGTGATCTCCAGTGATCTTTTATTGGAGAAATATAAAAACGGATCATTTCAGCCGTGGTATTTTGAGATCCGAAAAAGAATTGAAGGATCTTGCAGTCTAGAAAGTTGGGTTATTAAGGTGGGATTAAGCAGAGGGGGACAGGGCCTGTAGGCTGGTCTTGACGTTTGCGAGGTTGGCCTTCCATGCAGTGAGACTGTCATGCAGCTGCTGCCACTGCTGCTTGCCAAAGGTGCGGTGTGTGCTGTGGCTGGTGAAAGGAAAAGAGAAAGGATGTGTTAAATAGACAAAAATGTAAATTTGACCAAGCAAATGTAATGTCTCAAATCTTTAAGGCAATAATATGAAGAGACATTTCCCTTATGTTCTGAATGAGGTCCTAAAATAAAAGACCTATGGAGGTGGAGTTACATTAAATAACAAAAGGCTGTGCATTATTTCAGTGTAGGGGATTTATTCACACAAAAACGTCTACCTTTTTCACAAATTATTTTATTTTCACATTTCAGAACTAACAAACTTAAGTCATCCATGACTTTGAACAAAGACGAGACTTCTTTGGCCAGATTCAGGAATGCAATATAACCCACAAACCAATGAATCAGTCAATCTTTGCAGCATGAACGAGAACAAAAAAGATGAAACAGATTGTCTCAGAGGAAATCTGATAGCTTACATGAAGTTGATTTTACAGCCTCGTTTAAATGTTACCGTTAAAATAAATTATTCTCACTGATGTTTATGCTCTATGTTAAGTCACTAAAGAGCAGAGACTAGGGATGCGTGCGACTAGTGGACTCAACGGTTAAACAATGTCACCCTGGCTAGTCAGCAACAGATTTACTAGCCTGATCAAATTCATATTTTTATATTTTGGCCCACGATGCCGCTCAAAGGTTGTTCTCAAACTGTAATGCAGCCACCTGCCACTATCTGGAGCTGAATCCAGACAGAGATGCTGTTTTAGTGAGGACCCAGCTTTATGTTGATGAGCAGTGCAGCCTTTGATGCTATTACAGTAATCTATTTTAAATGGCGGAGCTTTTCCTTCCTTTACAGCAGCTATTTCAGCGGCCAGGATGGTCACAGGCCGATGCATTAGTCCAGAATTGTCACAGGGGATGCTACTCAGCCAATCAAATCCTTTACTAAGACAAGGCGGCGAGTGAGATAATACAGAGACACAGGTGGAGTCCATGGGCAGAAAAGATGCTGAAGTGGAAAAACTAAGTGAGTGAGAAAAGTAGACATGGTGTGTTCTAAAATGAGAAAAGAAGACTGACTAACAGGAATTTTAACCAAGAATGGACGTCTCTTCTATGTTTATTCTCCTCACTGACAGTTTAATCCCTAGCATTATTCAATAAGCTCGCGATCATTAAATGCGTTCATGAAAAGCATCACTACGAGACAAAGCACACATGTTTTGAGCCTCTGAGGACAAAGAAAATAAATGAACTAAAAGCCCAATATGACCGATACACCAGAATCCTTATCAAATCGAACCCGACCCTGTTTAGTTTTAATCGGAGACCCCTGCTATAAAGAGACTATAGTCCTGGCTAATGGACCGTCTCTCCTGGCTCTACTGCCCTGATGTAAACAAGCACAATGAACAGATAGCATCTTTTAGGAGCAGCGTGTCTGGCAGTATTTTTGATCTAGAAAATGTAGATATAAAAGTATTGAGGCTGTTTTAGGTTGAACTGGCATTTAACTGGAGCAATGCATAACGAGGTTTACCTGCCAGGAGGACCAAAGGCTGGTGATGCTAGCACTGTGAACGTTAGCCACACTCTGCAAGCCAACTTGCATTGTTTACCCGCAGACAATATCAACACCTTCTAAACCAGAGTGAGACAGAATTGAGCCATGTTTAATGGTGTGGGGAAAACACTTACCTTACAACAACTCTTTGCTGTGTCTGATCAATTTTGCAGTACACCATCTTGGTGCGAACAGCTAGAAAGACAAGGAAGAGGAGAATGAGATAAAAAAACAGCAGAAGCTCCGACTAAAAGTAGTACAAGCACCACCGTGAATGAATAAGGAAGGAGGCAGCTTAAACAGCAGATCACTGAGTGTTGTTCTAAGTTTTGTAAAATCCTACTCATGTCCCTGTTTTCTTTTTATAAAGAGGGCCAATAGGTACTTTTTGTTTTAAGACCCAGAAGTCCCAAATGACAAACAAAGAGCATCCTTGGTAAACAATGACAGACAGCTTTGAGGTGAAGTGCCTGTACCGTCAATCACAAAGGCCTCGACGTCCTCCGCTCCGATCTGCAGCTCCTGCTGCATGGTGTCGAAAGAAATCTCCTTGAATTCCACCGCCATGCCCATGAATGTCAGCAGACGCATCTTGGCCATGTTCTGCTCGTGGGACAGGCCTGCAGAGCAACAAGCAGGGATCATTAAGCACAGAGCTGTCACAGTCGATTAGCCTCCACACTGGGAGTTTCCCTCTGATAGTTGTTACTACATTTAGGAGCATGCAGTCAGGGAATCTTCTCATTAACACAAACATCACTCCACATTGTCTGTTTGGAGAGTCCATCCTACACACCCTTGTAATTGCATCCTAGCCTTTTAGCAGTGAGAAAGAGACACGCTGCTGACACACACACATTCCTGTACTGAGTTAACAGAGCACGGTGCGATGGCTCAAACTGACGTTAACATCACCATGTAGTAAATGTTACAGCTGCAAAAGAGAAGATGCTTTAATTCTTAGAATAAAAGATGGATTCAATGGTTTCAAATGAGTTTCTGTCCTGCACAAAGATAAGTAAACAGAAGGAAAAACTTTTTTAGTATTGAAATGATTCATTCAATTCTTATATTTCCACTCTGAGATCATGAAAGTTCCCATCAGCCCCAGAGAAACAGCTGGATCTTTAAGATGGGGATTTTTTTTTTAAAAGGGAAGAATTGTATCACACATGTTTCTTATTAGTAGGGGAGGGGGGGGTCAATCCAGCATAGTATTGCAATATGTAGCGTGGAGCTATTATATAGATTCACGATCAACAAGTATCGATATTTTTATATATTAATAGTAAATATGTTTTTTATTTTTAATGGCTGAAGGGGTTGCACACATTTTGAACTTACATTGTTAAAAATGACTGCTGTTTTTCAGTCATCCATTCAGGTTCAAGTTGGATTAGACTGAAATACTAACAGTTCAGATTGTTCAGTGCATGCATGCATCGAATTTTGTTGACATAATATGCAGATCAAAAAGTTAAATCACAATTTATTGTATCGCAGTAGCATCGTATAGTGACACAAGTATCCTGATAATATCGTATCGTGGTGATATTGTATCATTGTGCCTCTGATGATTCCCACCTCTACTTATTAAGCTTTTATAACACACTTCTGATTGGTCGAAAGTCATTAATATGAATCTAGGTGCAGCCATCCATTGTGTCCTTTCTGAACAACAAATAAAATGTTATTTCAGGGTGTTGAGATTACTGCAGAGAAAGCTGGTCTACTTTGCCTTTAATTCTTTTCACTGCTCTTTTATAGTCTATTCTTGACTCAGAAAATGACATTTCATGAATGCACTGTAACTACATTTTCATTTGTAACTATTCTGACTATCTTAATTAATTTTCTTGTGTTTTGTCTGGCTCATTAGGAAAGCTACCTTGCCGTGTAGAACACATCCTTTCCTCATAAATTAAACGGTGTAGTGAACTTCTAAAACATGGTCAGTGCGTACATTTCTGTTTGTGCAGGGCTGATGCAAGCAACATCTTGTGCAATATCAACTTACCAAGAGAGTCGATGAAGTCTTTGTTACTCTGGTAAAACTTAACGTAAGCAGCTAGCTTGGCACTCACGAAGATGGTTAATAGCTGAAGAGATGGTGAGAAGAGGGAGAAATCACAGCGTAAGATGAGAAACAGTCAGATACACTTCTACACGCTCAGTCTGAAAGTTGTTCAGAGAATCAAATCAGAACTATGGACAGGTGATAAATAAATACAATGAGGAATGACATTTATTTCCCCTTGATCATGAATGGGCTTCACTTTTAATATCTTCAGGAAGGCTAGCCTGTTGACCCGAGAAGTCTCTTTTACCAAACTGTGCACACGCATTTGTTAAAAAAAATGTTTTCATTGTCTCAGACTGTTCAGCTGGTGATGTGCAAACATTCCTGCTGCTCACCATTCAAAGTTTATGAACCATTGACTGGTCTGCAATTAAACATTGGGTTGTGTTTCTCTTGGCTGTGCTGACACTGTATATCAGGAAACCCGTGTTAAACACAGAGGAGAGGCCTCCACATCACAGTGAGCTTGAATTCTAATCATGTGACCTTAAATGGCGTCCTACACATACAAGAACGACTGACTAGTCACGATGACAGAGGGACAATTTGTTTTTTTTTTAAAATGTATTTTTTTATGTGCTTTGAAGGTCACATATTATGCTACAACCCCCACACCCAATTATGAGATGTGTCTATCTGCTCCGTCTTTTGCCTGCAGCACTTTTCATAAAACATTTCCATGGAAATGCACCTCCCCCAGGTGTGTGACACTCCCATACACACACATATATATATCTCTCTCTGTTTTGCCCTCTGAGTCTACCAACAATAGGGCATGGTGCAAATGCTGCATTCATGTGATGTCGGACACATCGGAAAAACGAGTTTCCAAGTGGTAAAATGCACATGAACACCTGCTCAAGTCGGAACAACAACAACAACTTGGAAAAAAAATTAGGTGCCCGACTTCCCGACAGAATCGTCATCACATAGGGAGCAAAATATGTATAATAATATTTTTTTTAATTCACGTATTGCACATCAACTTTTTGCTCAAATATAACTTTTAACAGTGACGTTTCACAGATCTTCTTTATAGCATCGACATTCCGACTTTCCGAACTGAAATCACGTGAACACACTAAAGTCGGAAGAACGACTTCCAAGCTTGGACCACCGAGCAGCACATGAATGCAGCAAAAAGCCAAACCACATCCCCTTCCAGAGAGGGGGCGTGGTCAGACACAACTCATTTACACTTAAAGCTACAGACACAGAAACAGTCTGTTCTGAGCAGGGCTGAAATAGAGGGGTTTATAGACATGATCAAATACAAGACCAGAGTGGATTTTTAAAAAGAAACTTCACAGACATGTTTTGGGAGCTCTGAGACTTTTTTTTAAACTTGTTGAAAGAGAGAATAATAAGTGACCTTTTTTTTTTTTTTTCTTCAAAAGGTACATTATGGGTGCGTTCGAATTGTCCCTCCTATCCCCTTCCACTATCCTCTTTACCTTAACCCCGGGGAAAACGTCATGAGGTTAAGGAAAGATGTTAGGAGAACTCATAAAGGACTTAGGGAAAGGCGATCTCGTTGCTCTGACAATCCGACCACATTTCCACTAGGCGTCATTAAATGCGACGGGCCGGCGGAAGTTAATGACGTGAGTCTGCTGCGATGAAACTACAATGTTCAGAAAATGGACTACAAAAAACGCATCTAAAAAAAAACTTTCCCCTGTGCCTTCTTACAAGTGAAATAATCGTTATTACCACAAGGTTGGGATTTAAATAAAAGAAATATAGACCACCAGGCTACAAGTAACAAAAGTGAAACCATCACCTTCCTGTCCAATCAGAAATCAACATAAATATGATTGTATGAAATTAATTGTTACATTTCTGCAAGATACAGCCTACACATAACATTTTAAGAATACAAATGTACAACTGCACAAAGCATTCTTAAGAGAATGAAATATGTTGAATAAAACATCATCTGATAAAAATGTCTCTTATCTTTTTATCTCTTACATGATCTGTGTCACTTTACGATCATCGTTAATGTTCATGAACGGTCAGATGCGCGACTCGCTTTGAATGTTTCGGCCGCAAGGAATTGTGGGGCGTCATATCTCATCTCCTTTGGTAAAGGATAGTCCAGTGTATCCTATGCTAAGGAGGTTATAAAGGAAGCATTGACCCACCTTTCCTTAACTTTTAGAGAATTCAAACGGCTCTTATCATGGCCGCCACTTAAATGCTTCATTTAAAAAGAAACTTCACGGACATGTTCATTACTTACATCATGGATGAGTTCTCCCTCAAGGAAGCGGACAGGTTTCAGGGTGAGCAGGTGGTCGATCAGGAAGGTGTTGGGGTCTTTGAGAGCACGAACTATACATCTAAAGAGAAGGCACACAGTCCCAAATGCATAAATGTACTGTCTGTCTGAGAGATGTACATTCAAATCGAGGCTTCGTGTTACAAGTTCAACAGGGTCTCAAAGTTTACCTGTGGGCATCGACGCGTGCTTGTGAAGCATTGTCTTCTGTGTAACTTCCCAGCAGCTCTACCATCACTTTAGCTGCAGCCTCACTGTGAAACGAGCAAAGCAGTTGTTGAAGACTCTGTACTGAGATCATTTCTATCAGGGGTTAAACACAATCCACGTCTTAATGTGAATAAAAGGGGCCTAAATAATGTTATGGTTAGTTAATGGACTGTACTTGAATACCACTGTTGGAGTCTTCTGTCCGCTCAAAGCACTTTTACACTACATGTTACAAATTAAATTTCACACATTTATAGACTGAATGAAGAGGATGCTATTTGAAGTGACAATCAGTATTAATGAATCACATCCACAGGCATTCACACACCGGTAGCTATGCCACCGGGAGCAAGTTGGGGTTAAGTGACTTGCCCAAGTGTACTTCAACACGAGGTCTTCAGGAGCTGGGGATCGAACTGCCAACCTTCTGATTGAGAGATGAGCCAGCTGACCATGAGGCCTTTATCTTAAGTACTATGCAATACTACATCTGCTTCTGATCATCCCAAAAAACATGAGTTTTTCACATCTGACCCAATTTGTATTTACCTTTTTTTGCAGTCAACCAATGCTTCATACACCAGCCTCAAAAGTATGTGCTTCTTCTCTGTGGTCAGGTTCCAGTCGATAATCCATTTGCGCACCTGATAAGCAGCACAAACAGGCATCATAAATCAACTGCAGAAGACAAAATGCAGCAGCAATATGCTCAGTTATTTCAGAATAGCCGTAGAAAGTTTATACCTGATCGAGGTCGGTGGGGATGAAAGCGATTGCATTACAAGTTGCTGCCACCTTGATGAGGCCACAGAAGACAGTGTACCTCACTGGCGCATTCTCGTCCATGCCATGGAACAGGTTACTCAGTCTGAAACATGAAGGAGATGTCAAGTAACAGAGATTAGATTTTTAGCTTTGGCAGTTTCTTGCTGCATGACATTTCCAAAGAAACACAGACGTTTCTACCTGTTGATTTTCTGAAAAGTTATCTGTTGTTTAGATTATAAAACCAGCTATATTTTCTTACACCAAAATCATGGACCAGTTGGTTTCCATGCTTGTGAAAGGTGTACAGAGATGAAGAGAGGCACAGCTGTGGATTTATCTAAAGGGAAAAAAAGAGTAAATACGACTCACAGCTGCATCCTGAGGGAAGGTCTCTCTCCTTCACGGAACTTCACCAGCTTTTCACATAAACTTTCAATGAGGGCCTCCTGCTTCTCTGTCTCCAGGATCAACAGCAGAGACACAATGCTGTTCATTACGCTCTCCACGTCTGAAAAGAGGCACACAGTCACATGTAGTGAGTCAGGAGCACTAGTTACTGAATTGTTTCCTGTCAATTAAGATGTGACATTAATTGGTGAGATCACTTTACAACTGCATAGCATGTAGTCGAGGCAGGTCCGGTGTCTTGTTGATATGCATGCTGGAAGACTGGAACTGCCCATGTTACACATAAAACAACTCAACCATAATATGATGAAATGCTGTTCTTGGTAAAACTGTTAACATTAAACACACACATAAAAAATACATGTTTTCCTATTATTCTACCATTAATAAACAACTGACCGTGGGTAAGATGTAGTGGTTTTCATGGTCATCACTTACCTTTATCATCGTCCTTGAGGCACACATCACACGCCTCGATGATCTGAGCCAGATCTACATTTAGTCCACCTTCAGAGTTCTCTTCTGATATTTCAGCTCCTTTAGACTTCATGTAGGCTCTCAGCTCGGAGGCCTGGAACGATTAAGCAAAAGTATTATTAGTAGTTAGTTAGTTACTATCAAATAAAAAAAGTTACTTTCAAGGTTATTATCAAAACATGCTTCTACCAAGACGATGACTAACTGAAATTGTACTGTATGTTTACAAAACTAAAATAAAATCACAGAGAGAATGCCCTTACTTTTTGTGTTGGACACGAGCATGCTGAGTGACATATAGCCTTACAATCCTTACAATGTGTCTCAGACACGTCAGTTCTGGATCAGTTTTCTGACTGCAGAAGTTAAAACTTTTTCTCCTTTCTACAATATTTAAGAAGGTATTTTCAAATAAGTTGCTTAATATCATTCTCTGAACCATTTGCAATACAGAGACAAAATAATAATACTTTTTTGTTTATTAGGAAAACATAAACTTTACAAGCAAATCCACTGTCAATATGAACATTTTGATAAAATAAAAAAATAATACACAAATGACCAGAGAAAATCTAGATGTATATACTTACATAGATTTAGCAAGTGTACTTCTGATATACCCCTATATCAATTAGGCAATTCTATATAGTTATAATATAAATATATTACAACTATACTAAAAATAATACTATTAAAACAGCATCAATAATTGTAGTAACAATAATAGTATGTATGCAAAGTAATGATTGAGAAAGAGAATCTAGTCTCTATTCACTTGTAATATATCTAATTGTAACAATTGCTTTTATTGTTTTAAGTAAAAATAATAAAAACAAAGAATTTAGAAAAATGTGTCTAAAACTAAGATTTAAACTAAACTGAAAAATAATTAAAAACGAAATAAAAAACTAAAGACAAATGAAACTTCTGAAGCTGTGTTTTGATGTTGATTATCTCAATATGTCGTAAATTAGTCAAGGTTGTAGTTTTAGTTTTGAATCACAGAGTAAATTTAAGATTAAAATAGTAGTCTAACACTGTATTACTCTAAAGGTTGAAGTTAAAAATCAGTGAGGATGCTTTGACGCCTGCTGTGTTTTCGGTGCCTGGATTAGCATTAGCATTCAGCTAGCTCATCACTTCAGTTTTAATACATATACAAAAGAATGGGAGGAAAAAAATAGGCTGGAAATCGCCATTATGCCAACGTTTCTAATTGCAGCCATCTCAGATGTTATACTACTCATATATACACGTATGTTGTGTTTCCATATGCAGCTTTATCCTCATGCAGCTCCACAACCAGCACGCATCTGTCAGCAGCTAAGGACGGTTAGCATTTTAGCTAGCTAGCATGCTAACCCATCCGGTGAATAGTTTCCATTTATTGATTCACCCGCATGTTGAACAATACTTAATGACGTTTTTTAAAGACTTGGGTCATACCTGATCTTCTTCCGTGATATCGATAAACGCTGGGACACTCATGTTTGGTGATTTTGTGAGCCCAGATGATGAAATCCACGCTCCAACCACTGCGGAGACCTGAGCGGAAAGGGAACGCTAAAAGAGTGCCGGTGAGTCTGTTTCACTTCCGGGTCCTGCTCTTAAAGCCGCAGTAACCTAATTCAGAGAGATAACGAGGAGATTACGTTACTGATTGAAAAGTCCGTCTTCAAAGATTACTTGGATAAAATATGTTTTGTAATTTTAAAGTAGCTATGCATCAGCAACCGGAACATATATTTAATCAATATGTTTATTTGAGAAATCCTTGTATGCAGAGTTCTGCTTACTTTCAGCTGGTGCAACCCCTTCATTCAGAGGTCAGACAACCTACTAAATTATATAAATCACTTTCACTTCCACCACCATATCCTCATCTTTCATTCTCTCTTATCCAGGTATCCATTCTGCTCTGTGGGAGATTAACCCTGGGTGTCTTGGAAGAGAGTTACAGAGGTGAACCTGATCCCCAGGAGAGGTTATCTGATTGAGATTCAGTCCATATGCAGGGACCACCATGGCTGGCCTGGCCCAGAGGAGCTGTCCAGCCCGGAAACACAGTCAGTGTCAGAGGGCAAAACTCTTACACCTCACACTCGCTGACCTATTGGTGTGCTATTGCGTACCAGGTGGGTTCCTGTGTATTACTACAATGGCAGGCTGCTTGGTGATTGAGGTGATGGAGGTGAAAAGGGTAAGTGGAGCAGGGGTTCACTCTAAAACCCTGTGGTCAGGTTACTAACATGGAAATGTTGAGTAGGATGTGTCCCAGTGGAGTGTTTTCCATTTCCAACCTGAACTGCAGCTCGCAGTTCATCTGTCACAAAAATATGTGTATTTTAGGGGCTTCACAGACTACAGAGACACTGCATGCCATTTCATAATTCCCTTAAAGTCTGCTTGTCACATATTTCTCTTAGCAGGAACTGAACTCTGTTACATTCACAAGGATATATTTATGAAAATAATGTGCTGAGGGAAAATAGCTGATGGAGTGTTTCAGCATAATGCTCATTCGATGCGTCATTCAGTTGGGAAGGTAAGTGCCTGGTACCAAATCCAACTCTCACTCTCTCCCTGCCCTCACATGCTGTCATGGCAAAGAATTTATAGCCGCTTCCACACAAGTGTGCTTGTGTAACTGCGAGGCTTTCATTATCTGATTAACAGCTGGTGTCAAGTGCCTGGTGTATTTCAAGTCCACAATAAGAGTTTTGGAGGCTTTGAAGCTCCAGGTGCATATGAGACTTTGTTTTTGTCTTATTTAAAGGGTCTTAAAAATGCCACAGTGTATCATGATGCTTAGTTTCTATATCAGTGATTCCCAAACTGTGGTATTTATATAACTGATTGTACGTGAGCTTTGTGGTATGATGGAGTTTTCTGAAAGGCCTAACGAGTGCACTCAACACGGCTCAACACGGCCGAAGTCCTAAAGTTAATCTTGACAAAATGATAGTAATGTCATTTTCACCATTCAGTAGTAGAAAGAAAAGAAGTAGGTAGAAACTTTAGCTTGTGAAACAAAACTTTTCACATAATAACAAGGAAAACCTGTTACTACTGGGTTTAGGTTGTACAGGAAAAATAGCAAAAAATAAGTTCCAAACATTTCATACAAAATACAAAAAAGCAGGAAAACAGTTTATTCAATTCTATTGAACACAGTTTTTATTTCTGAAACATCTTTCACAGGTATTCCACAAGTTTACCCAGTTTGCAGATGAACATTAAATCTTTATATTTATTTTGCCATTGAGAAAAAAACTCATCATCTGAGTTCACAGCACACTATTATTTAAAAACAACAACAGAAGGTTTGTTTTTGTGTTTCGTATGTCGTACATTATCTCTGCATGTTGTTACACTGCAGTGATCATAATGAGTTTTCTTTATATAATTGAAATGTTTAAAAATTAAATTGACTTATTTCATGTTTTCATGTCGGCTACTTAACCACGCTAACATGATGTTACTGTTTGAATATCAGAATCAGAAATACTTTACACATTTGGGGAGGGGGAGATTTGATTCAAGTATCATAAAATACAAACGTTGACCTTAGCCCAGTGGGATTTGAACTCTTCTGTTGTTGATTAAAGTAGAATGAGTGGAATACAAGGCTAAAAGTTAGAGAAAATGCAAGGGGTCAGTGACAACAATGGCATCTCTTAATCACTTTATTATGTCTGACATTTCAAGAGAAAGCTAGAAACAGGGTTGTTTCTCTTACTCTGAGGATGTTTCATTATTAGCTTGGAGTTTCATTGTTACATCATAAGTGTCTGAAGTGGGATGTGGTAACTGGGAGATTTGGTTTGGTACATGGTGGTCTAGAATTTGTTATGTTCAGGAACCTCTAGCTCTTAATATTTGTGAAGTCCTGGAAATATCTAGATTTGACTAGACTAACTAAAGTACATGTGTAGGAAAAGCTTTTTTAAATATCATTTTAAATCTTATCCAGCAACGTAGTCAGGACAAGACACAGATCAAACCAACAAGGCACGTGTAATCCTTCAGCAAACATGGTCAATGTTTCCAGTATCAAGCACTGATGTCTGATTGGGTGTTTAATGTTGGTGTATGTACATATAAAAAAAAAAAAATCAGTGCTTGTCAGACACCCTTCTTCTTGAAATCACAGCTTCCCCCAAGGTTGTGAAATCATTTCAGATATTACCAAAGAAAAATCTTATTCTGTTTCCTTTTTTAGAAAAACGTAATGTCCTGTGTCGAATCCCAATTCTCTCTTCTTTTTTGTTTTTAGGATTGTTGCAACACACGTTTATCAGTGCCCACAGCATCCTGAACATCTGCTTTGTAAGCTTTCAAATTGTGCAAACTGAGGGCACATGTTTTTGTTTTCATTGATTATAGTTCCCTGTAAATACTTAAATATATTCTTTGCTTTCTTATGGTTGAATTTGGGTGGATAAAGTTTTTCTGTCATGTTTAAAGGCGTGTATATATATATACTAGACTTTGTGTGTCTCTTGGTTTACGGTGTGCAATAATATAAAGTCAGATCCAGAAGAGATAAGTGAGAAGTCGAAATATTTATGTTGTCTGTATGTCTTGATTGACCTCATCCATGTTTGTTTGATATGAAACAGCACATGCTCTTCCTAAACGGTTGGCAAATTGCCTGCTCAGCCCCCTCAAAGATAAATGACTGTGTTAAGAGTTGGGTGAGCCCAGGTGTCTGTTTTCCCCCTGTCAGCCGGCCAAGTTGTGAGTATCCTATCCGTGTAAGCCAGTCTCATGGTCATCATCCAACATGGCTGCCCACCTTCCACCCACTAATTGTCTGGTTCCCACAGTTCTGCCTGCCTTCACAATCTCTGAAAAATCCCCTCGCTCAGGCTCATCTATCAGCCAGTGACCTTGTCAGGGAGCATCGCATGAGTAACTTCCCTGCTTCCCTGGGTGGAGCAAATTGCTTGTTAATTACTTATAAGCTGAACCACCCTCCCCCCACACTTACACGCAGATAGTAGAAACAAATAAATAAACAAAGGGAAGGTATTAACTCCGGTGAATCTAGACTCCATATTGGTTCAAGTCACAACTCCTCGTGGGCCCTTCTGATGGACCCTTTCCTTTTCCAGGCTAGGAGACATAATCTCAGTAAAGGCCGGTTATCTTTCTGTTTATGTCTTGTCCTATACATTATCTCATATACATTTAGGTTACGCAAGTGACCTAATAAACACAGCTTGATACACCATGTTGTTCACGCTAAGAACAATACAGACTTGTAAAACAGCTTTTAGGTTAGGATTAATTAAAAATGTAGCTATTACTGCCTTTATCTTGGATTCACTTTCATTTGGACACTCTTTATTTCACTAATTACGTAGGAGCTTTTTTGACTATAATTTTCCACATTTATAATAAAGCCAAGGTCTAAAACAGGTAGTTGATCAATCTGTTTGTTAACCAGAAAAAAAGGTGTTATTTTGTCAATCAGTTTTTGATAAAGTAATTTTTTGTGAACAAAAACAAAAAGCCAAATGTTAAATCTGAATTTTCAGGTCTTACCGCTGCACTTTGCAATCTGTGATTGTCAGCTGAAAATGTTCTGTTGGTTGGACTAAACAAGGGACTTTTATGGCTTCAGTTATATCTTGGCAATTAAGCAATCCAACATGCTGTTGTGCTTAACAGTAGCACTGCTTTGATTTCCTGACAGGAAAGAACAGCCTTAACAAAACTTCATCTTCTTTGATATTAACAATAGTTCTACAGGTAGAAAGAAAAGTAATGCACAACCACAGGCTATTGGCTTTCCTTAACTTAATTATTCATTTGATCCACAAACACAGCTTGACTGGACCTGGACTGTTGTTTAAAAAAAAAACATAAACATTTTCCTGATCATTTGATGAATGATTGAATGTCTTCACCGCAGATGGTCTTCACATTACCCTTCATAAACTCTCTGGTAAAACGTAAACGTGGAACCTAATCCTAAACCAGAATGTACACTTATCTGTATGCATATTACGACCAGTGGAGTAAGACTCTTTTTAATGTCTATATTTGGTATGTGTGGTTTCAGGATACATGCCTAATCAATATAGACAAAAAACACATGTAATATAGATAGATAGATAGATAGATAGATAGATAGATAGATTTAATTGTGGGATATTGTACCAGCTCTACAGTAACATCAAACAGTGACTTAAAAGAACAGTATTCAGAAATGTCTTGTTACATACGTTCAGAGCTTGCAAATCTTAAAATGACCATGACCTGGATGACTGAGAACCGACACAGATTACTTGTTATGTACTCATAAACAGTCACTGTGTAGTTAGATAGATAGATAGATAGATAGATAGATACTTTATTTATCCCGAAGGAAATTCAAAGCATCCAGTAGCAGGTTACAAAGACGTACATCGTCGTACGTCCCCATACATATATATTAACCCGAAAAAATATTTAAAGAATACCCCTAAATGAAACAAACTAAAATAAAAACTGTGCAATTAAAAATAGATTTATACAAGAAATGTACATAACTCGTGCAGGGATAAAAAAATGTATGTTTAATGACAA